GGCGACAGGTGCAACCGGCTCTCTGAGCTACCGGTGGCTATCAGAACCCCGGAATACAGGCGCTGCAGACGACACGACGGCGGCCTCCGCTCAACCTCCCCCAACAGTCCCACACCCCTCGACACACACCCCCTGCTTCGCCCCTAGCTCCACTCCCCTTTCACCCCCCTAGTACCACTCCGTCGGCTCCCCACACACCCACCCCCCTGAGCGGCAGCTGCAGCAGCGGGAGACGGAGGAGGAGGAGGAGGGGACGGGGCACACAACCGGCACCCCCACACCCGCCACCCCCAAACCCTAACACAGGAACGCGGGCAGTAGCGGGGGTGGGGCGCCGACAGAAGCTTGGGGGACGGACGAGGCGCGCGCACGGGTCTGCCGCAGGCGGGACGAGGCGCGCGCGGGCTGCCCGGGCCGCGCGCGGGCCTGGCGCAGCCCGTACGGGCCGCGCGCGGGCCTGGCGCAGCCCGTACGGGCCGCGCGCGGGCTGTACGGGCCGCGCGCGGGCCTGGCGCAGCCCGTACGGGCCGCGCGCGGGCCTGGCGCAGCCCGTACGGGCCGCGCGCGGGTCCCAGGGGCGCTTCGACGGGCGACGGGGACGTTTCGACGGGCGACGGGGGGCGCTCCGACGGGCGACGGGGGCGCTTCGACGGGCGACGGGGGGGGGGGGGGCGCTTCGACGGGCGACGGGGGGCACTTCGACGGTGGGAAACCGCCGCGCGCCTCGGGGCGCACGGTAGGCAGAAAACCGCCGCACGCCCCGAGCGTACGGCAGGAAGGAGGCGTCGCGCGACCGAGGCGCGCGACAAGTAGAACAGCAGCGGAAGCATTAGGTGGTGGGCCCACCCACAGGATCGACCCAAGGGGGTCGACCTGCTCTGATAGCATGTCAGAAGTAGTAGGAGAAAGTTTAGAAGCAGAAAGAGGGTTTGGACTAGCAGCAGTTGAGATACAAATAGCAAACCCTAGATTGGGCTGTACTCGCTATAGAGTACCCCATTGCAGGCTAGACAAATACAACATTCTGACACCGGAGCCGATGACAACACGTGTCAACGCAATCACGCTGACGAGGGCGATCAAACGGGGAGCGCAAGGCTACGCCGTACAGCTGTACGAGGTGGTGGCGTCCGAGAAAATCGCCGACATTGACACGCTCTGCGCTGCCGTGCCTGACGACGTGGCGAGCATAATTTGGAGGTATCCCGAAATTTTCGCGGATGACCTGCCTGATGGGCTGCCACCTCAGCGTCCGGAGGACCACAGGATCGAGCTGGAGCCAGGCGCCAAACCAACCGTTCGGTCACAGTGGCGGCTCAGCCAACCGGAGCTCGACGAGTTGCGGAAACAGCTGGATTATCTGCTCTCGAAAGGTTTTATCCGGCCGAGCACGTCACCTTACGCCGCCCCGATACTGTTCACACCGAAGAAAGACGGGGGCCTGCGCATGTGTATCGACTATCGAGCGCTGAATCGGATCACCATCAAGTCGCGTTACCCGATTCCGCGAGCGGACGACCTGCTGGATCAGCTTCGCGGGGCTCGCTTCTTCTCGAAAATCGATTTGCGAGGTGGCTACCATCAAATTCGCGTGTTCGCCGACGACTGCCCGAAGACAGCGTTTCGCACCCGTTACGGCAGCTACGAATATACAGTAATGCCGTTCGGACTGACGAACGCACCCTCGACCTTCCAGCTCACCATGAATGGGGTGTTTCGGGACATGCTGGATAAAAAGGTGATAGTTTACCTGGACGACATCCTGGTGTACAGCAAGACTCGGGAGCAGCATTTACGGGACTTAGACGAGGTGTTCCGGTGCTTGCAGCAGAACCGACTGATTACCAAGGGCTCTAAGTGTGAGTTCTTACAGCCGGAGCTGGAGTTCCTGGGGCACGTAGTTTCAGGGGAGGGTATTAAAATTGACCCTCATAAAATAAAAGCGATTTCGGAGTGGAAGCCGCCCACGAACATCACGGAGCTGCAGAGTTTCCTCGGTTTCGTAAACTACGTCCGCCGTTTTGTACCGAATATGGCGGGGGTGACCAGACCGCTAACCGATCTTCTGCATAAGGGCGTGCAATTTTTGTGGGGGGAGAGAGAGTTGCTGGCTTTCGACGAGCTGAAGAAAGTTCTGAGTTCACCCCCGGTACTTCGCCTGGCAGATCCATCTCGACCATTCGAGGTTGTGACGGATGCCAGCGATTTCGCCGTCGGCGCCGTCCTGCTACTACAAGATTTCGGCAACGGACTGCAACCCATCGCGTACGAGTCAAGAAAAATGCAGCCGCCCGAGCGCAACTACCCTGTACACGACAAAGAAATGCTCGCCATCGTGCATGCATTTCGTACCTGGCGCTGTTATCTCACGGGAGCTGACGTCACCGTCCGGACCGACCACAAGTCATTACAGTACATGCGCAGCCAACCACAGCTCAACCCGCGACAAATTCGGTGGCTCGATTACCTCAAGTCCAACTTCACCTACACCATCACGTACAAGAAGGGCGCCAACAACATCGCCGACGCCCTGACCCGCCCATCCATGCGAACCGCAGCAGTACTAATCGCCCATTCTAACCCTTTATTGGCAGGATTATTCAAGCATGGCTACCGAACGGACAGGTTTTTCAGGACCAACTTACACCAACGGGTCACCACAGTGCATGGGAGCTACTACCTAAAAGCCGGTACCAGCCGCGTTTGGGTACCTTCCTACCGACCCCTCAGAGAATTGCTGACGCAGGAAGTCCACGACTCCAACCTATCCGGGCATTTCGGCATCGACAAAACGTTGAAGCTGCTGCAGCGGAACTATTTCTGGCCCGACATGGCGTCAGACGTGCAGCGCTACGTATCCGCCTGCCCGACCTGCCAAGCAATGAAATCATCACGCCAACGCCCAGCTGGACTGCTGCAGCCCCTCGAGCCACCCGAACGACCATGGCAACAGGTGACGATGGACTTCATTACGGGACTGCCAGCTGGCGCAAGTGGCAACGACTCCGTGCTTGTGGTCGTCGATCGCTTAACAAAAATGGCGCATTTCGCACCATGCCGCACGACGATCACAGCCGAAGAAACAGCAAAGCTATTCATCGCAACTGTCGTACGACTGCACGGGTTACCTTCGGCGATCATCAGCGACCGCGACCCGAAATTCACGTCGAAGTTCTGGCAGGAGACATGGGCACAGTACGGCACCCGTCTGCAGTTTTCGTCGTCATATCACCCGCAGACCGACGGCCAGACAGAGAGGACAAACCAGACGATGGAGCAGTTTATCCGTACAAACTGCCCCGACATCACCAAGTGGGAAGATTCGCTTCCCATGCTCGAGTTCGCGTACAACAATGCCCCATCTACGACGACCAATCAGTCACCGTTCTACCTCAATTACGGGATAGACCCGGTGGTACCCTCGTCGACGACCCCTGAAAATCCAGTACCACGATCGCAGCAGTTCGTCTCGGAACTTCAAGCAGCACGCGACAAAGCAGCAGAATTTATCCGAAAGGCTAATACAGCCGCCAGCCGCTACGCTGACCGACATCGACGGAATTTACCATTCCGTGACGGGCAAATGGTCCTTCTAGACACGAAGCACCTCAAACTGCCCCAGCCCGCAAAATTGCGTCCACGCTACGTGGAACCTTTCCGCATCATTCGGATGCTGACCCCGGTCACGGCGAAGCTTCTCCTACTGGACGACTGGAAGATCCACGACGCCTTCCACGTCAGCCTCCTCCGCCACTACGTGGCTCCGCAGCCGTCCGACGTCGCTCGACCCACCCTGGCGCCAAGTGTCCGACCGGTGGCAGATCCGACACTTCAACCTTGGAAGATCTTGAATCATCGCATTCGTGCGACCCCCGCTGGACGCCACGTTGACTTCCTGCTACGCTGGGCGGATCGCACAAGCGAAGATGACACGTGGGTCCCCGCTGACTCACTCCAAGGGCACTCGGTCCTTCGGGATTATCTCTCCCGCCGACGTGTGCCTGATGTTGACCACCTTTCTTAAGGGGGGGGGTAGTGTAAGGAATTTTCGCTAATTCCTTACTGAGGCTGTTTTTACGCGTACAATTCCAACCTTCTGAATTCAGGCTCGGTCCGACGACCTCGCCTTCCGAACGTCAACCGCGTCGCCTTCGGGTTTTCCAACCCCAAACCTGCACCCAACCTTCGCGCGACTCCGCGACCTCGGCCTAGCTAGCTTTGCTATATTGTGCCTAGGCCTCGTTGTTCGAGCAGTGGTTGTAATCACTTCCGCGATATTGCATTCTGCGCACCCTTCAATCGTACAACTCATAACATCTGTTTTGACACGGCTGATGCGGAGATTGGTTGGTGAGAAAGGCAACGTGGCACTATGAACTCCACACCAGTCCCACACGTGATAGGTGTCCGTTTCCGAACGTAGCTGAGAGCGTGATTGATGCAACACGTGGTTGCTTCGCTCAAATTTGGGCGGCTACCGTACTGGAACGTACTAAAGCCTTCTGAAGAATGCAAAACCTACGGGCTTTACCACGGTTCTCATTTGGGGAGCATGTTCGCTTCCCTTCCCATCCATGATGACTCATCCGCCCCGCAGTCCTTGGCCCTGTCTGTACGCTCTCCCTCATTCCCCTCCATAGTAACGAAACCCATCCATCAAATCCCTCTTTCTCTGAGCTGATGTGACTATTGTTGTCAGCAGTGAGCAGCAGCCTCTGCCCTTCGTGGTGCTAGGCTCATCGTTTCGGCTGAACATGAACTGAGGCACTACTCACGTATCGCGTGCTTCTTGCCCGCTGTTGCGTCACCCTCTCCGTTCACTACGAAACACAGGCCGCGCTCAGGCCCCCCACTGACGCAGCGAAATGGCTTCAATGGCCGCCCATGGCGGAGTTGCCTCGCGCCCAGCCGCCTCGATCGCGCTCACCTCCACGTCGCGCCTCGTTGTCACCGCGTCGCCTCCCACATCCTCGTGCGGATTCCCGACCATCTCGGCGCGCATGTCGCAGTCGGCAGTCGACGCGCGACGAGCGGCATGGTTGCGCGGCGCCTGCTCTGTTTCGCCTATAGCTGGGTCCTCCGCATTCTCCGCGACCGCCTGTCGCGCGTCCGCCGTCCCATCGTTTGTCCGTCCGATGGCTGCCGCGTCTCGCCGCCGCTCCCGCCGTGCTTCGCGCGAGCCGTCGGATCTATCGACGGACGGCCCAGCGGCTCAGCGAAGGCTGGGAAAGGCAGCAGCGGCGGGCGCGGCGGGGCCTGCGGGGTCTCCCAGCAAGCGAGTGCGCGCGGAGGCGGCGGCGTCAGGGGCGGGCGGCGGGCAGAGCTGGGACGTGGTGGGCGTGGGTCAAGCCATGGTGCGTTGGGGGATGTGTGAGTGCGTTGGCGGACGGAGAGCGGACCGAGGGGATGAGAAGGTTGCGTGCGTGGGATAGCGAGGCCGTGTGCAGGGAGGGGAACGGTGTGCATGGTGGATGGGGGAGGATTCGGGAAACGACGAATGGCAAGTGAGGTGACTTGCTGGGGTTTAAGGACCAGAAAACCCTTCGCAGGACGGATGGCGTCTCTCACGAACGTTTTTCGTGTGAGGGTTTTGGGGTCGGAAGGTGGCATGCATGCGCACGCTCATCTCGCCTCCTGCGCAACTTCTGTGCCACGGCGCACCTCCCCTCAACATTCCGCGATCCCAACCCCGACTCCGCAACCCCACCCTACCCCCCCCACCCACACACAGAGACCCCTCACCTTCCCCCCCCCCCCCCCCCCCACCTCCCCCCCTTTCTCGTCCCTCCTCGCGCGCCTCCCCCGCAGGTTGACTTCGCGGCGATGGTGGACGACGACTTTCTGCGCGCGCTGTCGCTCGCCAAGGGCGCGCGCACGCTCGTCGACCACGAGGAGCGCGGCCGCGTCTTGCGCGCTCTCGACGGCTGCAGCTACAAGCTCTCCGCAGGCGGCTCGCTCTCCAACACCCTCGTCGCGCTCGCGCGTCTCGGCGCCGTCCCCGCCTCCCCCGCTAGCAACAGCAGCGGCGGCACCAGCGGCACTGCCACCGGCGCAGCGGCGGATCGCGGGCTGGCGCTGCGCGTGGCGATGACGGGCAGCGTGGGCAGCGACCCGCTGGGGGAGTTTTACCGCACGAAGCTGCGGCGCGCGAACGTGCACTTCCTGTCGAAGCCCGTGGCGGATGGCACGACGGGCACCGTGGTGGTGCTCACCACGCCCGACGCCCACCGCACCATGCTCGCATACCAGGTACTGCTGCTACGCTGCGCGCCTCGTCGCAGGCTGCGACTCGCCGCATTCTCCCTCACTCGCCTCCGCGCTCCTCTCCATGTCGAGCCGTCGCCTCCCTATCGTCCTCCCCACCTTTCTGGTCGCCGACCTGTCCCGCACCCCCCTTTCGTCCCCCTCCCCCTGCGCGCCCCCTCCGCCAGGGCATGTCGTCCGTGGTGCGGCTGGACGCGGCGCTGCAGGCGGCGGTGAGCAGTGCGCGCGTGGTGGTGGTGGAGGGGTACCTGTGGGACCTGCCCTGCACCGTCGACGCCATCGCCCATGCCTGCCGCGCCGCCAAATCCTCCGGCGCGCTCGTGGCGCTCACAGGCAGCGACGTCACTTGCATTGTGCGCCACCGACCGCAGTTCTGGTGAGAGAAGCGCGCTGCGAGGGTTGGTGTGAGGGGAGAGACCAGTGCAGGATGTGCCGCCTGCGGTGTGAGAGCCTGTGCCACCTCACACTTGCCCTTCTCACGCCCCTGATTACCTTGGCGCTCGCCTGGGTTGATATCTAACCCCAATGCCCACTCTACCCTTGTGCGTGTGGGGCACGGTGTGGCCACAGGGAGGTGATGTCGCAGTCAGCGGACGTCCTATTTGCCAACGCCGATGAAGCGCGTGCGCTGCTGGACTGCCCGCCCTCCACCTGCCCAGCATGGGCCGCCCTGCAGCTGTCCCGCTACTGCCCCCTCGTGTCAGTCACCGATGGCGCCAAGGGCGCTTACATTGCCCACAGGGGCACAGGCGTCACTTTTGTCCCCTCCGCGCCATGCCATGCTGTGGACACGTGTGGTGCTGGGGATGCTTACGCTGCGGGCTTGCTGTATGGCCTACTCGCATGTGGCTTGGAAGGGCTATCGGATATGGGGCTACAGCAGGAGCTGCGGTTGCGCAACGGGAAAAATAAGAAGGGCGGGAGAAGTGGCATGGGAGTGAGCATCAGCAGCAGTGATCTCATGAGTGGGAGCAGCCCCGTGTCCGCCATGTCAAGTGATGCCGCTTCCATGCCCCTCAGCTCTTCCTTCCCTACCTCCATCTCAACGACATCCTTCTCCCCGTCAACCTCACTTTCAGCATCGCACCCGTCGATAGGTTCGTTGCTTGCGCCTGCTGATGTGGCGGCCATTGGAGCCTTTGCTGCCCGCGTGGCAGCTGTGGTGGTGGGGCAACAGGGGGCGCGGTTAAGCGAGGATGCAGCAGCAGAGTTGGTGGGGTGGTGGACAAGGGAAGAGGCTCGATCGGGGAGGAGTCGTGTGGTGGAGAACCGGCAGGACTTGGTGCTGGAGTGATTGCCCTGCTTGCACTTGGCAATCACTCTCGCACCAACTTTATGGGAGATACACGGTGCATTAGGCAGTTGGTGATGGACGAGAGGCACCTCAGCCTAGGCTAGTATCACTGTTCACATTGTAACGTCGAAGTCCTTGATGCAAGCCAGTAAACCCACACCGCAGCAGTATGTAACATGCTGGTGTCATTAGAGGTCTGTAAATTACCGCCGAAGAATACGAGTTATACTAGCTCGGATAGAACTGCCTCATGCACCTCAAGGTGGATTGATCTTGTAAGTGAATGAATTACGGTAATATACGTAATGGCAACATTCAATAACGTTCACGTGTAGCGTAAAAGTTATTGACTCGGGGACAACAACGCCGCCTCTGGGCGCGTTCCTGGCTGGTGTCAAGCTTCGGGCCTTCCCGGGAAGACCCGAAGCTTTGGGTTATACTTCCTGTCAAACTTTGTGTTTTCCGGAAACAGGGGCAATTTTTGGCCGGAAGACCCGAAGTTGGTCTCGGATGACCCAAAGTGGGTCTAACTTCCGGTCATCCGCGGATGACCGGAAGCTTGACACGCGCCAGGAACGCACGCGCCCTCAGTGGCACACATATGAATTTGAAATGTCCACTTCCGTCACTGGCGTTGAAAGTGTGACCGCGTGAGTAACGTGATTGTAAAGCGAGGAGCAGTGGAGCACTTGGGCAAGTAATTTTAAACATGAATGGAACACCCTATCAGCATTCGGAAACCATTTGTGACTAGATGAGAGGTTTATCCTGCCCAACGTGTCTAACGTGTTCGTTCGCAGCCTGCACGACGATGGGCTAGGTCAGATCCAGGCGACATGTAACGACGCCACCTGGCGCGCCGAAGTCATCACTGCTCGGATAGTACGCTAGAACGACTAGGCCGAGACAAATAAGAACAAGATTCGTACCCTGCAGCTCTAGGGTTTGCTCCGCCCTACTGTAGTTCCATTTTTGCAACTGCTTCCCACAACGCAACTGTGTTTTCCCTAGCTAGGCCTTGCAGCAAAATCCTCTTGGTAATTCGGCTCCAACCGTCCAAAACCAGCTTGCGATCGCGACTCGGGCAGACTCCATTCGTGATTCCCCGCTGCCGTCTTCCGACGGCAATTCGTACGACAAATTCGCTTTCCACCATTTGTGTCGCGGCCGTTTGACGCCCAGTGAAGTATCAGGCAGGTCTGTTTCGCGATTCCGTGTCAGAACCTTTTTTTAGCAAAAGGCAGTGCGACGCGAGGTTCGCAGAAATCGTGGCCCCGTCAGCGGCAATACGAGGCAGCCCGGGATGGAGCAGCCCTGTCACGGAGCCCCGGTCGAGTTAGCCTGTCCGAGCTAGTTCGGCTTGGTGTTTCCGAAACAGGAGTTGCACCGATACGAGTTCCCACGATCGCACCTTCCGATGAGAATGAGCAGCGGTCGCGACGGGCAGATGGGAGCAGCCGGCGGCGAGCAACGAGTGGAGGCAGGGCGCGTAGGTGCGAGTGCGAGTGCGCAACAGCTAGGCACGGGCGGCGCTCCTTCACAACGGTCCACACCGCCCACCGCTCCCTCCCACGCGCCACTCGATCTTCCTCCACAGGCGGCACCGGCCCCAGCGCCTGCCCCAACGGTCACCGGCGCAGCTGCGCTGCCGGCTGCGCAGGGAGAAGCGTCGACGCTTCAGCGGTTCGCGTACCACAAGAAAGGGGTCTTGCCCCCCATCAGCGCACTGGCGCAGCGCGAGATCGTGGCGCTGAAGCGCGCGCACCCCGAGCTGGAGGACGTGCACATCGCGGCGGCCGTGAGCAAGCGCTTCAACGTGTACGTCCGCGCGTACCACGTGCGCGCGATCCTGCAGCGCGCGTCGGGCGAGTGGTGGGCGTCGTGCAGCAAGACGAGCTCGGACCGGTACAAGAACGCGGAGCTTGAAGCGGAGATCGTGCGGTGGGTGCGCGAGACCAAGGCGCGCGAGGAGGCCGCGCGGGTCCCCGGCACGCGGTGGATCATCACGCTGAGGCGCGTGAGCAAGTACGCCAAGGAGATCGGCGCTAAGTATGGTGTGCCTCCGCGGTTCTTGTACTCGACGGCGTGGTGCAGAATGGTGCTGGAGGATGCGGGGCTGGATAGACGCGGGAACGAGATGGACAGGCGCGTGTTGGAAAACGAGGGCGCTGCGGGTGAGGGCAGCGGAAGGGGACGCGCGGAGGAAGGAGGAGGGGTAGGCGGAGAAAACGGGTTGCATGAGGGGGAGGAGGAGGCAGAGCGAGGCGGAGAGGGGGGAGGTAGCGGTTGCACACAGGCAAACGCTGACGTGAACACCGGTTCTAGTGGTGGTGGTGGCGCTGCTGCCGCTGCTGCTGCTGCTGCTGCGGCTCCTGCTGCTGGTGCTGCCGCTGTAGCTGCTGGTGCAGCGAGTGGCGGTAAAAAGGCGGAATGGCGTGCCCTGGTGGAGCATTGGCGGCACCCGTTCCTGGGCGAGAGCAGCAACACCACAGGCGTGCCACGGCCCATGCAGAACACCAACCAACCGCTGGACATCAGGATCCGGTACGAGATCGCGGTGGTGAAGCACGTGCGGCCGTACCTGGACAACAAGGTGGTGTCCGCCGTGGTGCTCGCGAAATACGGAGTAGACGTGCCGCCCAGGAAGGTGCACCGCATAGTGGAGGAGAGCGCCAAGTGGATCGCCGCGGGGGCTATCCCTGCAACGACAGAGCCCATGGTGAGGCTGGAGGATGCCGTTGCGGCGTGGGTCATGCGCGAGGAGCAGGGGAGAGGGAGGGAGGTGACAAGGGAGAGGATTCTGGAGAGGGGGAATGCGGTGGCGGGGAAGTTCTTGCCGAGGGTGCGCCGGCCGTTCACACAGCAGTGGGTCGCGCTGTTCATGCGCCGCTATGGGTTGTTGCTGCTGCCGCTCACGCCAGGGCCCTCGGGTGGCGTGGAGGGGGGAGGGGAGGAGAGCGGGAGTGAGGAGGAGGAGTGCGCGGATGTGGAAGGAGGCGGGGGCGAGGGGAAGGAGTGGGGCAAGGATGCGCGTGGAGGGGAAGTGGGGGCAGGGGGGAGTGGTGCGGAGGGAGGGGTGGGAGGTGGTGGGGTTGGGGACGTAGATTGGAGGGCCGCGCGGTGGAGTGACGGTGCTGCTGCTGCTGGTGGGGCTGGCGGTGTGCAGGGGATGGCAGGAGGGGTAACGAGTGAGGAGGAGGGCGGGGAGGATTCGGAGGAAGAGGAGGAGGAAGAAGATTCGGAGGAGGAGGAGGAGGAGGAGACGGGACAGGGATGGAGAGATGGAGGGAAGAGGAGAGGCGGGGAGGGGAGGCAGGTGGAGGAGGTGGTGGTGGAGCTACACGTGGACAGCCGGCACTTCCCCGCCGCACTGGCAGCGGCGCGGCGAGCAGCAGAGGAGACGGTTCGGGAGTTCCAGAGGGACGTGGTGGAGGAAGCGGTGTTTGACGCCGGGCTGCTGGTGCGCGGCGCCGTGGGGTATGGTAGCCAGCTGTGGCTGCACGATGACAGGGGGCTGGATGTCAGAGGGCGCGGGCTCTGGGCTCGGCGCAGGCGGTTGGCGGGTGTTGGTGGGGTGAAGGGGCACGGTGGTGTTGGGGGCGTGGGGAGTGGGGAGAGAGGGAAGGGGGGGGAGGCGGTGGAGGTTGTTGAGTTGAGTGACGAGGAGGAGGAGTGTGTGCAGGGAGGTGGGGTTGGGGTAGGGTCGCAGCGGAGGGCAGAGAGTGGGGAGGAGGAGAGGGTAGAGACAGGGGAGGAGGGAAGGGTGGAGACAGGAGAGGAGGGAAGGGTGGAGACAGGAGAGGAGGGAAGGGTAGAGACAGGAGTGGAGGGGAGGGTAGAGACAGGAGGGGAGGGGAGGGTAGAGACAGGAGAGGAGGGGAGGGTAGAGACAGGAGGGGAGGGGAGGGTAGAGACAGGAGAGGAGGGGAGGGTAGAGACAGGAGAGGAGGGGAGGGTAGAGACAGGAGAGGAGGGGAGGGTAGAGGGGGAGGACGAAGGAGAGAAGAGGGACGAGGGAGGGGCAGGGGACGGAGGGGCAGAGGGAAGAGTAGAGTCGGGGATAGAAGGAGGATTAGATGCAGGAGGAGAGGAGAGGATAGGCACAGGTGCAATGGTGCAAGGCAGTGCGGACAAGAGCGTTGAGGCAGGGGTGTCTGTATGTGCCCAGAAGCAGGCATCAAGGAGCAAGGCGGGCAGCACAGCGACTAGGGAGCCAGGGTACGGGTCGAGCTGGTTCCTGTGCGAGCGCGTGGCGTGCATGGGGCGCTCCTACCGCACCACCCTGCCCACTGAAACCCTCCTCATCCACGCAGGGGCCTTCTCTCTCGGCGCAGCGTTTCTTGACACTCAGGGTTCAGACGAGGAGGAGGATGAGGAGGAGGATGAGGAGGAGGAGAGGCATGCGGTACGTGAGCAGAGGCACGGCGTGGGGGGTGAGAGTACGCGGCATGGGGCAGGGCGGTTCATCTACCTGTCACGGCCGCTGCGGCGGCAGCGGCAGGGCGAGGGGCCGGAGGAGAGCAGAGTGCTGGAAGGCATCACCCTCAGCCGCGTGCGGGCGCTCTGCCTGGTGGTGCAGTCGCGGCCGAGCCTACAGCAGGCGCACATTCTCAAGGCGGTGGAGAAGGCGTGGGGCGTGCGCATGCACCCGGGCGTGCTCATGGCGATTCTAGCGCAGAGGCACCGCTGGCTGCAGCTGCCAGCGGGGCTGTCGCTGCGCCTGCTCAAGAGGCCGAGACTGAGGGCCAATCGGCTGCTCGAGGTGGCGCTAGCGCGCTGGATCGAGGGCTTGGGTGCAGGGGTCAAGGTCTACTGGGAGACTATCTGCTGGCCGCCGCGGCTTGCTTCTGCTGATGGGAGCGGTAGTGCTGCTGCTGGTGCGGGTGGTGGTGCGGGTGGTGGTACGAGCAAGCGTGTGCGGTATGTGCTATCAAAGGAGGTGATAATAGAGGTGGCGAGGAGGATAGGGCCGATAGTGGGCGTGGTTCCGACGTTCAAGTACGCGTACAGCTGGTGTGCTCGGTTCGTGCAGATGCTCGCCAAGTGCCGCGCGCTGCAGGCGGAGGCAGCGCGTGAGAGGGCAGGCATGCAGGCGGGGAAACTTGGAAAGGAGTTGCGCGGAACAGACGCTGAGAGGGAGCAGGTGGGTGTGGGACGTGGGGAGGGGCGTGGGCAGGGAGGGGAGAGGGAGGGTGGACGGGCCTCGGGCGGAGGGAATGGGGAAGTTGCTGGAAGGAGTGAAGACAGGGAGGGGGGGGATGTTGGGGATGAGGAAATGGAGGAGGAAGTGGAGAGGCTGTTGGCGGAGGAGAGGCAGGGTGAGGGTGAGGGTGAGAATGAGGTTGTTGTGGGGCGTGTGGCGCATGGAGAGAATGAGTCCTGTGACGGCCTTGCCATGTGCGGCGCACACATGGATCACGGGGGGCCTGCAGGTGCGCGAGGGGTAGCTGGGGCAGCAGCAGGTGAAGGGATGGCAGGGAGGGATTCGGAAGCAAGCAGGTGTGCAAGGCAGGAGGAGGCTTGGCGAAGGGACTTTTTAAAGAGGGTGGAGAGGCACCTGGTGGAGGCTCAGACGAGCACTGCTCACAATGGGGAGGGTCAACTCGGGAGGGGTCGAATGGGGGAATCGCGAGTGGGGGGGGCTGAGACGTGGGAGACTCAGTTGACACGGAGACGAGGGCTGGATGCATCAGCGGTGGGCGCTGCAGCAGCAGCAACAGCACGAGTATCGGAGCCGGCAGCAGCAGTGGTGGTGGCGGCGGTGCGGCGGGCGCTGTGTGAGTGGGTGGCGGAGGGGGTGGTGGGGCAGCGCGCGGACGAGGAGGAGGCGCGCGAGCAGGCGGTGGTGGTGGGGCTGGTGCGGGCCACGTGGGGCGTGCACGTGCGCGAGGAGGACCTCGCGCTGCTGTGGCTGCAGCGCACGCACCTGCTGGGTGCGCGGTGGGAGGAAAGGGTGAGAGAGAGACTGGCGAGGAAGGGTAAGGGTGGGGCGGGGGATGCGGGCGGGAGGCAGGGGCAGAGGGAGGGGCCGGGTGAGGGGGAGGGTGGAGGGGAGAAGGGGGGAGAGGTGGGGTTGCAGGGGGGAGTGAGAATCAGGATGCTGCGAGTGGAACGATTGCTGGTGAAATGGGTGAAGGGTAGGCTGGGAGAGGGGCAAAAGGGAGAGGGGGGTTGTGGTATGGGAGGGAAGGGAGGAAAGGAAGGGCGGAGGAAGGAATGTGAGGCTGAGAGGGGGCAGGGAGAGAGTTGGCAGGCGCGGCAGAATGAGATAGGGCAGAGCCAGAGGGTAGCATGTGTGCAAGAGGAGTGCTCAACTCCTGCTGCTGCTCTCACTGCCACAGCTATCCGTCGCTGTGCCATGCTCCTGGTGCTGAAATGCAACATGCCTGTGTCCATGTCTCACAGCTTCACACAGCAGTGGATGCTCGCATTCCTGCAGCGCTGGGGCATCAACCCCTGCCTCGTCTCCGCCCTTGACAAGCTGCCATCCTCTGCACCGGCCACTAATACCACGACTTCCGCCGCCACTGCTGCTGCTCCCGCGGCCGCTGCCGCTGCTGGTGCGGGCAGAGCACCATCGGGCGCACAAGAGGGGAGCTCTGGAGGAAGGAGAGAAGCGCTGACACAGGCAGCAGAGGCAGCAGCAGCAGCGGCAGCAGCGGCAGCAGCGGCAGCAGCGGCAGCAGCGGCAGCAGCGGCAGCAGCGGCAGCAGAGGTGGGGGAGAGTGCGATGGAGGTGGGGGTGGACCTGCTGCAGTGGGTGGATGCACGGGACGTGCGTGCGCTGCTGCGCGCCATGGACGGGGAGATCTGGCGCGTGCGCCTGCGCGTGCGGCAGCGCATGCGCTGGCTCAGCTGGGTCGACCAGCTGCAGCGCCAGGCACGGCGCCGGGGGGAGAGCGGCGTGAGAGGGGGCGCGTTGGAGGGGGGGGACGCGGGGAAGGGACATGCGGGCGCGAGTAGAGTGGCTGGGGACGGTGGATGGTGGGGTGATTTCAGTGGTGGTGGGGAGAAAGGCAGTGGGAGATTGTGGAGGACTGGTTTGTTCAACACGCCGTGTTATTATGACCCGCTGAGCGAGGAGCGGCCTAAGAAGGGCGTGCGTGCGGGCCAGGTGCATGGTGACAAGCAGAGGCGAGGTGCTGAGGCGGGCGGGGACGAGGGCGAGGGCGAGGGGGGGATGGAGGGAGGAGGAAGGGATGATGCAGAGTTGGATGCGGAGTGTGTGGTGAGTGGGGGGTTGGATAGCGGGGGAGAGACAGGAGAAGGTGAGGGAGAGGAAGGGAGGGATGGCGCAGAAACGAGTCGGGGAAGGAAAGAGGGGAGAGGACGAGGGAAAGGGGGAGGACGAGGAGAAGTGGGAGGACGACGAGGGGGGAGGGGACGAGGAGGGAAAGGGGCAGGAGGAGGGAGACGGAAAGAGGGAGGGAGACGGAAAGAAGGAGGGAGAGGGGGAGGTGGAGGGAGAGGGGGAGAGGGAGGGAAAATCGGAGGAGTGAGAGCGGGAGGAGGGACAAGGGAAGAAGGAGAGGAAGGTAGAGCGAAAAGAGTGAAAACAGGAGGGGGGCCAAGGACGAAGAAGCTTGTGGGCGTCAACTGGGATGGCTTCTGGAGCTTCGATGATGACCATGCCGCTGGGAATGCTGGTGAGGGAGCGCATGGTGGGAGACAGGTTGGAACCGATGGCCGTGATGTCACTGCACCTCCTGCCGCCGCTGCTGCTCCTGCTGGTGCTGGTTCTGGTGCCACTGGTGATAGTGATGGTGATGTTGGTGGACGCAGTGAGAGCAGTGGGGCGGGCGACCACGTTCAGCCTCTCCCACACCAGCTTCCCAACACTCCACAGCAACCCAATCATCAACCACAGCAGCAGGGACAGCGGCAGCAATGGCAATCATGGCCTGGGTGGCAAACGCCTGGAGTAGTGTGGCAGAGGGTCGGGAACGGGTGGCAGCAAGTGGCACCTCCGCCGCCCATGATGGGGTGGCAGCCTGGCATGGGCGGCAGTGCAGCGCAGGCAGGTGCTGCATCCAACTCCCCATGGCCCAGTGCCGTGCCCACTAGTCCATGGCCTGCTGCTAGCCCTCCCACACACCCGTCTCAACCCTGCATGGGGGCATGGCCTATGGGGATGGGTGGTTGGCACCCACCACCTGCAGCAGCATCTGCAGCAGCATCACAAGCAGCACAAGCAGCAACGGTGCCAGCAGCAGGAGAAGCAACGCCAGAGGCAGTGACACCCGCAGCATTGGCAGCAGCAGTGGCGGCAGCAGCAGTAGCAACGGGTGCTGCACCGGATGCAGTGGCAGCGTGGCTTCGGCAGCAGCAGCAGCAGGCAGCAAAGAACCAGGAGCATCAGTTGCTGCAGCAGCTTCGGCAGATGCTCTCAGGCCAGCAGCAGCAGCAGCAGCAGCAGCAGCAGCAGGGAACTGCAGCAGCAACCACACCATTTCCTCCGCCCACTTCGATTCATCAACACACCCAACCGTTTCAGTCCTACCCACCTCCCCACGCACCATACCCATACCTCCCACAGTACCCGGCCTTCCCACCCCACCCATCCTCCCAGCCCTTCCCAGGCATGTCTTCGTGGCCACAGCAGCCTCATGCCTCGCACCCCGGTCCTCCTGCTGCTACACCCACTGCTGCCACAAACAGTGCTGCTGCGCGTCCCAGTGCAGCAGGTGCTTCCATGGGCAGTGCAGGATATCGAGGTGGCTCAGGACAGAGAGAGACAAGGAAGAGAGGGCAGGAGCGTAGGGAGGAAGCTGGGGTGCTGGGGAAGAGGGCCAAAGGGGCATTGCAGCAGCAGGTAGGGCAGAAGAGGAGGGCTGAGGAGGTGACGCAACAAGGGCGAGGGGCATTACCATCGACTGCTTTTCAGAGCGCATGGAAGCCGGTGGTGGTGCAGGGGAGTGACAGCGAGGGGGAATATGATGGGGAAACGGATAGTGATGAGGAAACAGCGGATGAGGAGGAAACAGAGGATGAGGAAACAGATGATGAGGAAACTGATGATGAGGAAACGGATGATGAGGAGGAATCGGAAGATGATGAGGAAACTGATGATGAGGAGGATGTTATTGAGGTTGTGGGGACAAAGAGGAAGGCACATGTTAATTCTGTGAGAGGGAGAGCAAAAGCGGGGAGGCAGGGAAATGGACAGAGGAGGACATTTAAGTAATATAGGGATGGTGGGTTGGCGAACAAGGAATGGGAGTACATAATTCGCGACGTCGAACAGGCAGCTCAACGTGGAGAGAGTGCACTGGAATAAGCTACGGTAATGCCAAGCAAGCAAGCATGTGTTGAGTCGTTTCTGTTAGAATCTAGCAGCAGGAATGAATGAACTAGCAGGAAGATGGGTACAAGTAGGAAACCCTAATTTGGGTTGTACCCCATATGGGCTACCCCACTACAGCCTACACAATGAGCAGCATATATGTTTGACACACCCCCATAGGCAAAGTGGGGGAGACCAAGGGTCACACGACCAGTCAAGAGAAGCAAAACAAGCTCAGGGTGGATCACAACGTCACCACACTCTCTGAGCACAAGCAAAGGGCCACAAGGCTAGTTCACATGCAGAGGTATATATATATGCAACAACAATAGAGCAGTGATCACTACCTAGCAAGGGCAAGCATGCAGAACATATATATATAGATCACAGTACAACCAAAGACTACAGCAAGTGTGGAAACGTAGGCACAAGGCCTAACAGGGTACAAAAGCGCTGATGATCACCAGACGGAAGTGTCTTGGTGAATATATCAGCAGTGTTGGCCCGAGTGGCCACGTGACGAAGACGAAGCTGACCTCGCTGCTGCAACTCTCGAGCCAGGAAGTAACGCAGAGCGATGTGCTTCGTTCTGTGCTCCAGTCTGTGCTCCTCACACAAGGCAATGGCCGCCTTGTTGTCAACGTACAGAACTGGAGGAGAACGAGGCCGCTCACCCAAGTCAGTCAGCAGGTAGGTGAGCCAGCGTAGCTCCTGTGCAGCCATGGCGGTGGCGTAGATCTCAGCCTCACAACTGGAGCTGAGAACAGAAGACGAGCGTGTAGACCGCCAAGAAACAGAGCCAGAGCCAAGGCTGAAGGTGTAACCCTGTGACGACCGCTGTGTAGTCTGGTCGTCAACCCAAGACGCGTCTGAGTGCCCAGTGAGCACCACCTCACTCCGTCCTCCAAGCACTAGCCCCATGCCTGATGTACTGCACAAGTAATGCAGTACCCTCTTAGCAGCAGCCATGTGCTCAGGTCGGTGCCGACCAGGAGCCACGTAGCGAGCCAAAAGGCCAAGAGGGTACGCGAGGTCAGGTCGAGTGCAAGTCATCAGGTACATGAGGCAGCCAACTAGCTCTGGGTAAGGACCACTCGGCTCTACGGACTCGTCCGAAGGTGGAGCTGAGAGCGAGTGACCTGTAGCCAAAGGAATGTGCTGTGGGGAGGACCAGGAAAAGCCGAAGTGCTGAAGGACCTGCTGCACCATGTGTGACTGAGTTAGGGTGATGGTGCGGCGTGCTCTGTCCCGGGTGATCTGCAAGCCAAGGTAGCTGCGCAGCTCACCCAGGTCTGTGCACGTGTGTCTCTTCTTCAGCTCCGACTTCACCAGAGCAAGAGCCTCAGTGTCAGCAGTGGCAAAGACCAGGTCGTCGACGTACACGAGGATGTAGAACGGCGGCAGGGAAGTGTCGGTGCGCAGAAACAGCGACGGGTCAGCAGTGGAAGGAGCGAACCCAAGAGCCACAAGTGTAGTCCTCAGTGTGTCGTGCCACTCACGAGGTGCCTGGCGGAGACCGTAGACTGGCCGCCGGAGGCTCCACTGGGTACCAGGAGGGAAAGACCCAGTGAAGCCAGGTGGGCGGCGCAACCAGATCTCCTCGTGCAGGCTGCCCTGTAAGAAGGCTGTGCTGAAGTCAAGAGAATGAAGCTCGTAGTCACGCTGAGCGGCAACGTGCAGCAGTACCCGAAGAGTGGTCATCTTCGGGGTGGGGGAGAAGGTCTGGAAGAAGTCAACTCCCTCTCGCTGACTGAAGCCTCGAGCAACGTAACGAGCCTTGAAGACAGGCGGAGAACCCGGCGGCCGCTTCACCCTGAAAATCCACATGCCATCGACGATGTTCGCCCTAGGAGGGGGAACCTCATCGACGTAAGTGCCTGTGGACTTCCAGGATGCCATCTCTGCGTCCATGGCTGTCTGCCACTGAGAGGAGTACTCACCCGCGATCGCCTCAGCGTAAGAGCGCGGGGTCGGGATGTCTGGTGCATTCGGGTCTCCCTCAGGGGCAAGCAGCATGGCCACGAGATGAGGCGCAGCAGCCGCAAGACACTCAAGGTCCTCGTGCCTGTCCTCAAGGACGTCCGTGCTAAGAGCACACTCACCCCCGACGGACGGAGGACAGACAGACTCAGACTCAGCAACAAGACTGGCAGCGAAGTCTAGACGACAGGCAGCAGCAAATTCAACAAGCTCAGCGACCAGAGCAGACGCAGCAGTAGACTCAAACGACGGGTCAGTGACAACAGTGGCTAGGAGACGCGTGACAGTAGGGTGCTCAGCACGATACCGGTCAGACTCAGGGTCCGGAACGGCAGGCAGAGAGGACGCAGGAGGAGAAGGCAGAGGAACATGCTGCGGAGCAGAGGAAGGACGACGGACTACGAGGTGTGCGCTGGGGACAGCCGGCTGACGCGAACGAGGAACACGACGACCGGTACGACCAGGACGAACAGGCGAGACAGGACGCGACGCAGGCTCACGACGCTTAGCAAGACCACCTGTCTGCTCAGTGTAAGGAGAGAGAGCAGACAGCGGTGAGCTAGGCTGTAACGGAAGACCAGTAGACGACGGGAGAGTAACAACCTGACGAAGAGCAGAGTCAGGCGGCGGCAGAGACGACGGAGACGGCGGAGCGAAGAACAGTCATGTCGGCGCAGCTGCACCAGCACCAGCAGCTCCAGCACCTCCAGTAGCTCCAGCGTCTCCAGCCGCTCCAGCACCTCCAGCAGCTCCAGAAGCTCCAGCCGCAGAACCGGTACCTCCAGCGCCAGCACCTCCAGACTCAGCGTCACCAGTAGCAGCACCCCCAGAACCGGCACCCCCAGTCCCAGGGTCTCCAGCCGCAGTGTCCCCAGCAGCAGCACCCGCAGGCTCAGCACCTCCAGCCCCAGTAGCACCAGTACCCCCAGTACGAGTACCTCCGAGACCAGCACCACTCCCAGCTCCAGTGACGTCAGCAGAAGTGACACGCACACGTGGACGAAGGCGGCCACTCCAAGGAGACCGCGCAACAGTAGACTCCGAACCCTCAGCGTCAGCACCCTCAGTCGCTCCAGAACCTCCAGCTCCAGCGCCACCAGCACCAGGACCTCCAGCAGCACCAGAACCTCCAGCGCCCGCACCCTCAGCAGCAGCAGAGCCTCCAGGAAAAACAGCTCCAGGAGCAGAGTCACCAGCTCCAGCAGCGCGGCCCTGACGCCACTCAACCCGCTGTAGGGAGGAGAGGGGGAGTCGACGACGAGAGGGCAGCGGCGAGGCACCAGCGGAGCGACTACGGAGACGGCCACTCCAGGGAGACTGCTCACCAGACGCCTTAGTAGACCCAGGCGCAGCACCCTTAGACTCAGTTTAGCCAAGCTCAGCACCCCCAGACCCCTCACACTCAGGCTCAGCACCTCCAGGCTCCACACCCTCAAGCTCCGCACCCCCAGGCTCAGCACCCCTAGGCTCCGCACCCCCAGGCTCCGCACCCCCAGGCTCAGCACCCCTAGAAGTAGCACCCCGAGCAGGACCACCCTCAGCAGGACCTGAGTCACCAGTGACCTCAACCGGCGCAGACAAGGGAGGAGGGTCTACCTGAGACACACCTGAAGGAGCAGGACCTGGAGCGGGGAGGGGGTCTACCTGGGGAGCACCTGGAGCGAGGAAGAGCGGCGGGGGGGGGAGCGGGGCAGTGCGGTAGGGAAAGAGACGGTAAAAGGGAACTGACTCGTCGAACGTGACGTCCTGAGACGCAAAGACACGGCGCGAGGTGGGGTGGTAAAACTGCCAACCAGGCGCGTCAGGGACAAAGCCAAGGAAGACACAGGGAACAGCGCGGGCGGAGAGCTTGTCCGCAGTGGTATCGCGGACAAAGGCACGAGCACCCCAGACCCGGAAACGCGACGCATCGCCAACCTTCCCCGTCCACAGCAGTGTGGGCGAGGTCTCCGGCAAGGAGACACGGGGCCAGAGGTTGAGCTGATGCGCGGCGTACCGGACCGCAAACGGCCACAGAAAATGGGGGGCAGCCGCATGGATCATGGAGGTACGAGCGACCTCCATGACTAAGCCAATGCGGCGCTCAGCAACCCCATTCTGCTGCGGAGAGGCCGGAAGCGTGAACGACTGGCGGATGCCGTGCTCCGCACAGTAGGCTGCCAAGAGGTCTGAGGTGAACTCACCACCTCTGTCGGAGTGCAGACGCAGGACAGGAAAGTCCCGCTGGAACCGGTCGCGGAGCTGGAGACGAGCAGCGCGGATCCAAGGGATCAAAACAGCAGGGACGTCCCCCTTGCTCTGCAAGGGGAAGACCGTGGTGTAGCGCGTGTAGTCGTCAACAACCAGCAGGAAGTACCGCTCGTGGCCCAGTCCACGGACGCGGGCTGGGCCCCACACGTCCAGGTGGAGAGTCTGCAGGGGAGCCTCTGTGGGAGGGAACGAGGAGGAGTGAGGAGCGGCGCGCTGCCGCCCCTCGACGCAAGGAATGCAGGGCGGCGCAGGCGAGGGAGGGAGAGCAGGCAGAGACCTGGGAAGACCAGAAACCAGGGAACGAGAGTGCATGCCACGAAGGCGAGGCAGGGAGGGGTGACCAAGGCGGTGGTGCCACAGGAGAGTGTCGTGCGACAAAGCGCGACACTCGCAGGGGGCCGCCAGCTGACCAGACACAGACGCAGACGCAGCTACCTGAGGGGACTCAGTGGTCAGTGTGTACAGACTCGAGCCAGGTGCACGGGTGAACGTGGCCAAGTGTCGGCCCGTCCGAGCACACGTACAGTGAGTCACTCGCTGACTCGAAGGAGTGAACTGGTCAACCCCCCCATCCTGGAGGTCAGCTCCACTCACCAAGTTCGTAGAGAACGAGGGGAGGTAAAGACCTGACAGGAAGCCAGACGGGACGGCCGGACACGGCAGAACCGTGGAGTAGTGGGCAAGGACTGGACCCCCAGAGGGGTCCGCCAGGGAGACCGGAACTGGCCGACTGAGCGGCGTGAGTGTGGTGCAGTCGCGAAAGAAAGAGCGGGAAGCTCCTGAGTCAAGGGTGAAGGTGTGCAAGACCGCAGCAGGCGCAGTACCAGAGAGAGCAAACTCACCAGCACCTAGAGCAGCAGTCTCACCAGCACCTAGAGCAGGAGACGCACGAGCACCTAGAGCAGCAGCCTCACCAGTACCGAGAGCAGCAGGCGCTATACCAGGGTCAGGCGGGACGCACAGGTAACAGGCTTGGTCAACACTAGTAGGCAATGCATACATGGCAGTGAGAATAGCATCATAGTCAAGTGCAAAGATATCTACCCTCTGTCCAAGCAGCTCCGGCCAGGCAGGGAGCTCAGCCTCGTCTCCAAACACGGTACGCCAGGCGTCGCTCAGACGGGCGAAGCAGCGGGACTGTGTGTGACCAAGCGTCCCGCAAGGCTGACCAGTCCTAACACCTGTGCGAATGACGTACGGGCAGCGAACGGTACGCGTAGACCTGCTACACTGAGTGTACCACTCCTGGAGCTGCCGGGGCGTAAGTGTCTCGCGAGGACGCCCCTGCAGCTGCAGCTGGCCACTGCCAGACGCCCCCAACTGACCAGCTCCAGGGCGACTGCTACGACGGCTACCTCCAACCCTAATTTTGGGTTGTACCCCATATGGGCTACCCCATTACAGCCTACACAATGAGCAGCATATATGTTTGACAGTTTCCCACTTGGGCCTGCCCAGCAGGAGGGGTGGCTCGTTGTTAACTTCCCAGCCCTGCCTAATGGAGGGCCGGCTTGATGTGGTGTGGCCTTTAGCGGCCTTTCATAAGGGGAGAACGGTCTCCTTGAGGCTGTAGAGGCTTGACCTAGGCTTAGTACTATTACCAGTTGTACAAAAACAAAGTGTAGTATGAGGAGAATGTGCATGCCCACATACCGCATCCAGCCAGGCAGTAAACCAGGGGACCCTGAGCTGCAAGGGTGGATAGGATTAGGATACAAACCAATTTTGGCCCCTGGTCAGCAAGGAAAGAAAATGGTCCTGATGAGATGAGAGTACCGCGTTTCTCCAGCTACCGGTAGAAAGAGGTGAACATTTGTCAGACAAGCCATTTCCTGTAGATGTCTTACATACGGTACATGCGATTTAAATGGCCCGTTTGGTTCAACAAAATGGGGCACCAGCTGCTTTTTTTTTTTTTTTTTTCTAACATACACACACAAAGAACTCATTATACGTTTTGAGGTTGTAAGTGGTCACACAATAATGCACAAGGTAGGGGAATGCACGGTCGCACAACTGACAACCACAAGCGCACTAGATGACAACTCAAGAGCACACTGCTGAAGGCTGCCATTCAAGCTGTCGCGATGGCAAAATACTAGACACAGCAGACGCCGACCCACAAGCACAAGCAGACGCTGCAACTCCATCCACCCTCCCTTCCCCTTCCCCACCACCGCCACACAAACTCGCCCCTCCGCTGGCACCACCACTCTCCCCAAAACCACTCGTTTCCGCAACACCAGCAGCAGCGGCGGCAGTGGCAGCAGCAGCGCGGCTCAAGTACCCATTGGTGCGCTTGGCGAGCAGCACGCGGCGGCGCATGCCGAGCAGCGTGGACGTCCAACGGCTGTCGCAGTCAATGGCGAGGTAGCCGGCCTTCTGGTACAGGCGGCGCGCGGCTATGTTGTCTTCGTGCACGTGCAGCACTATGTACTCAAAGCCCCACTGCAGCGAGAGTTGCTCCACCGCTGCCAACAGCACCGATGCTATGCTCTCCCGCCTGGGGCAGCGGGCGCGGGGGGGGGGAAGGGAGGGTGAGGAACGGAGAGGTGGGTTGGGAAGGGGAGAGAAGATGAGATGGGTGCGACACGGAACATGAAAGCGATTGGGAGCTGTGTGCGGTGTGATGTGCGAGCAGAGGGAGGTTAGGTGCAGGACTGATGGTTAGGAGGGAATGGTTGCACGACCAGAGAGAGGGGGCAAGAAGCAAAGTTGTAGGACGACCAAAGAGGCACTTTCACAAAAGGAAAAGCACAATAGCAGACAAGAGGGCATGTATGAGCAAGTGTTGGCGTGACATGCGTCATGAATCCACCCCATGCCCAGATCTAGCATCGGCCAGGGCAGGCAGGCAGAGACCTGAGGGAGGCGTGCACAGCCATGCCGGAGAGGTAGAGGTAGTCCTGCGCGCCTGACAGGTGCTTCAACACACTGCGGTCGTCCAGCGCTGTCAGGTCCACCACTCCCACTACTTCCACTGCTGCCGCTGCTGCTGATGTGGATGCTGGTGACGGTCTCTTGGAGGTTTCTCGTGCAGGTGGGTCGATGGTCGGGTCAGGAGGCGGAAAAGGCTGGGTGGAAGGCTGTGCCACGAGAATGCAGTGCCTGCACGGGTGGGTTGGTGGGAGGTGGGGTTTGCACATGGAGAAACAAACACCACAGCCGTAAGGTAATGAGAGGGAAACGCATGCCGCATGGAAAAGGGGGATTTGGAAGGGGAGGAAATGGGAAGGAAGTGGGTGGGTCAACCAAGGGGCGTTGAACCAACTGGTGGGCAAGCCTTTCAACAGACGCCGCTGCTTCAGTTCAGCCCACGGGCAGTGCAGAGCTGCATGGCATTCCGCATTCTGCATGGGGAGTTCATCCAGGGCCCCAGCAGGTGCATCTGCTGGCACAAAGAGCCCATCCCGCCTCACCCTTCCCCTCGCCCCATCCTTCACGCTTCCCAGCTTCCCGCCCGGCCTTGCCCTGCTGTGCAGCCAAGGCACAGCAGGGAGCACGACCAACATGCTGGCGTCGACTCCCAAGTAGCTACCAGTTCCGAGTGGGCATTGCCCTGCACTGCACCGTACAGCACGCAGACGGCCGTGCCCGCCCGCCGCAGCCTATGCTCGCACACAGCTCACCCGTGGCCCATCCCATCCCATCCCATCCCATCCCATCCCATCCCATCCCATCCCATCCCATCCCATCCCATCCCATCCCATCCCATCCCATCCCATCCCATCCCATCCCATCCCATCCCAAGCACCTAACAGCAATTAGACCCTGGGGCATCGCTCCCCTCAAGTGAAGCTTCCTTGGCCGGCCCGCCACGATGCTGTCCCCACTGATGCCCCTCCCACACGCGCACGCGCACGTGCCCTGCCCCACCCACCTCCCTTCGTCCCTGCCCGTGGAATTACCTGGCGTGCTGCTGAGGCTGAGACGGCGAGTGAGTGTGTGCTGTGCGTGCACGGAGGAAGGGAGGCGAGCGGGGGAGTGGGGAGGGCAGACGGGGAGCAGGAGCAATGGGTGGGCAGGGCACCTGTCAGGCGGCGAGTATTTGAGCTTGTGCAGCAGGTTGTCGTACAGCTCCGCCTGCACCGCACCGCGCCGCACCACACCGCACCGCACCGCACCATGTGCAATGATGCCACGCACGCACCCACACCACGTCCACATCACATAGCGGCCATGCAAGGGGACGGAGAGAGGGAGGAAAGGGGTGGGGGAGGAAAAGGGGGGTAGAGGAGATTGCGTTGCATTTCAAACCCACGTGCTGCAAGATGCACAACACAGACCAGCCAGGAGCAGCTTCGTCCACCTCACACCGCCCCTCCTTTTAACCCCTCTCGTGCCTTCCCTAAGAAGCACCAGGCGCCGTCCCTGTCTCACCCCCCCAATCCCCCCTGTCGCGTCCTCGCCATCCACCCTCCATGCGTCCCTTTCCCCCCACCCATTTCTTCCTCTTCCTCACCCCCCCTCCACCTCGAACATGTCTAGGAAGAAGGCGTTCAGACATTGAGTCGACTCAAACGTCAACTTGCGTCCCTCCCGCCCGCCCACCCCTGTCTCCCTTCTTTTACCTTGAACATGTCTAGGAAGAAGGCGTTCAGCGCGGACAGCGGGGCGGGCGGGGGGTCGTGGAACACTTCCGCCTGCAGGTCCGCCACCGCCTTCATCTCCTCGCGCGCGGCCATGCGCACGCGCCACTTCCCGCTCTCCACTCTGAACTCCCCGCTCGCTTCCCCCGCTTCCCCCGCTCCCTCCGCTACCGTCGCAACCGCCGCTCCTTCCGCCGGAACGGGAGCCGCTAGCTGCTCTTGCCGTTGCTCCGAAGGTGGCGGAGGCGAATCGGAGCCGCCTTGCTGCCATGCCGCGAGCATCTCGCCTTCCGCGGCCATGGCTCCCCCTGCGCTCTCCTCGTCTGCCCCCCATGCGATGGGCGCTGATCTCCGCGCGGGGCGGGAGTGGTGCGCGGGTTGGGGGGGATGCGATCGGCGATGCGGCAAGCGCGGACCTGCCGAAGAGGAGGACGATAAGCCTTGCGCATGCCTCTGCCGCGCAGCGACGAACGCGCGTGAACGATCTCGCGCGTGCGCATGCAAGTGCGCCGGCGCGCGCAGCATGCAGTGCGCGAAGGTTGGCTGAGCGCAACCGGTTTCCGCGGCGTGCGGTACGGCAGCACTCTGGAAAAGGGCGCTGCCACTACCAGTCGGGCCGCTTCGGAATTCCGTCGCGCTGCTGCCATTGGTGGCAAGGACTGTCGCGCGATGCGACAAGGTCCCAATAGCCTCTACTTCTCGGGTCCGGTTGGGCAGAAGGCGGCGAGGTGTGGAGAGGTGGAGTGGGAGAGAGACCGAGAACACGAGGGGTGGCGAAGGGTGGTCCACTCGCATACACGCAGCGAACGTGAAAGACGGCATTGTCGGCGAGCCTTGCGATACCATTGCTGGCGGGGGGCGCGAGGGTGAGACATGCGACGACAGGGCGAAGGCGGAAGCCATTATTAGTCTAGAGCGACAAGAAGTGCGCAAGTGACCACTGTTCTGGTGGCTGGGTGCTGCATCGGGGAGGCTTTTGTGGTAAGGTGCAGGAGGGAGAAACATCAGGGTGGTGAAGTGTAGCAGGTTTGAAGTTGTGCTATGACTTGTAAAACAAAATTGAGTGGAAAATGAACATCTAAGTTGTGAACTTAATCGACTGACATACAATAGAGTGACTACCCTAGCTAGGCAGGAACATCGGACATGTGAGGTTGGGTGCAGGTTTGGCAAGGGAAAATTAAAGGTGCCGTAAAGGAGCCGCGGTTTCAGCGATATTGGCCAAACGCGCGAAGTTTGGAAGTGTGGCGTTGTATGCGAAGCAGTCAACCCCGATAACAAAAGAAAACAGCAACTCTCCTCCTCGGGCTGCATAACTGCGCAAATTTTTTTCTTGTAATTGTGGTTAGTGTGGAAGTGTTACTCAATGCTGTTTAGAACATGTTCTAGTTAGAATCTAGCAGCAGGAATGAATGAACTAGCAGGAAGATGGGTACAAGTAGGAAACCCTAATTTGGGTTGTACCCCATATGGGCTACCCCACTACAGCCTACACAATAAGCAGCATATATGTTTGACACACCCCATAGGCAAAGTGGGGGAGAACAAGGGTCACACGACCAGTCAAGAGAAACAAAGCAAGCTCAGGGTGGATCACAACGTCACCACACTCTCTGAGCACAAGCAAAGGGCCACAAGGCCAGTTCACATGCAGAGGTATATATATATGCAACAACAATAGAGCAGTGATCACTACCTAGCAAGGGCAAGCATGCATAACGTATATATATAGATCACAGTACAGGCAAAGTCTACAGCAAGTGTGGAAACGTAGGCACAAGGCCTAACAGGGTACAAAAGCGCTGATGATCACCAGACGGAAGTGCCTTGGTGAATATATCAGCAGTGTTGGCCCGAGTGGCCACGTGACGAAGACGAAGCTGACCTCGCTGCTGCAACTCTCGAGCCAGGAAGTAACGCAGAGCGATGTGCTTCGTTCTGTGCTCCAGTCTGTGCTCCTCACACAAGGCAATGGCCGCCTTGTTGTCAACGTACAGAACTGGAGGAGAACGAGGCCGCTCACCCAAGTCAGTCAGCAGGTAGGTGAGCCAGCGTAGCTCCTGTGCAGCCATGGCGGTGGCGTAGATCTCAGCCTCACAACTGGAGCTGAGAACAGAAGACGAGCGTGTAGACCGCCAAGAAACAGAGCCAGAGCCAAGGCTGAAGGTGTAACCCTGTGACGACCGTTGTGTAGTCTGGTCGCCAACCCAAGACGCGTCTGAGTGCCCAGTAAGCACCACCTCACTCCATCCTCCAAGCACTAGCCCCATGCCTGATGTACTGCACAAGTAACGCAGTACCCTCTTAGCAGCAGCCATGTGCTCAGGTCGGTGCCGACCAGGAGCCACGTAGCGAGCCAGGAGGCCAAGAGGGTACGCGAGGTCAGGACGAGTGCAAGTCATCAGGTACATGAGGCAGCCAACTAACTCTGGGTAAGGACCACTCGGCTCTACGGACTCGTCCGAAGGTGGAGCTGAGAGCGAGTGACCTGTAGCCAGAGGAGTGTGCACTAGGGAGGACCAGGAGAAGCCGAAGCGCTGAAGGACCTGCTACACCATGTGTGACTGAGTCAGGGTGATGGTGCGGCGTGCTCTGTCCTGGGTGATCTGCAAGCCAAGGTAGCTGCGCAGCTCACCCAGGTCTGTGCACGTGTGTCTCTTCTGCAGCTCCGACTTCACCTGAGCGAGAGCCTCAGTGTCAGCAGTGGCAAAGACCAGGTCGTCGACGTACACGAGGATGTAGAACGGCGGCAGGGAAGTGTCGGTGCGCAGAAACAGCGACGGGTCAGCAGTGGAAGGAGCGAACCCAAGAGCCGCAAGTGTAGTCCTCTGTGTGTCGTGCCACTCACGAGGTGCCTGGCGGAGACCGTAGACTGGCCGCCAGAGGCTCCACTGGGTACCAGGAGGGAAAGACCCAGTGAAGCCAGGTGGGCGGCGCAGCCAGATCTCCTCGTGCAGGCTGCCCTGTAAGAAGGCTGTGCTGAAGTCAAGAGAGTGAAGCTCGTAGTCACGCTGAGTGGCAACGTGCAGCAGTACCCGAAGAGTGGTCATCTTCGGGGTGGGGGAGAAGGTCTGGAAGAAGTCAACTCCCTCTCGCTGACTGAAGCCTCGAGCAACGTAACGAGCCTTGAAGACAGGTGGAGAACCCGGCGGCCGCTTCACCCTGAAAATCCACATGCCATCGACGATGTTCGCCCCAGGAGGGGGAACCTCATCGACATAAGTGCCTGTGGACTTCCATGATGCCATCTCTGCGTCCATGGCTGTCTGCCACTGAGAGGAGTACTCACCCGCGATCGCCTCAGCGTAAGAGCGCGGGGTCGGGATGTCTGGTGCATCCGGGTCTCCCTCAGGGGCAAGCAGCATGGCCACGAGATGAGGCGCAGCAGCCGCAAGACACTCAAGGTCCTCGTGCCTGTCCTCAAGGACGTCCGTGCTAAGAGCACACTCACCCCCGACGGACGGAGGACAGACAGACTCAGACTCAGCAATAAGACTAGCAGCGTAGTCTAGACGACAGGCAGCAGCAAAGTCAACAAGCTCAGCGACTAGGGCAGACGCAGCAGCAGACTCAAACGACGGGTCAGTGACAACTGTGGCTAGCAGACACGTGACAGTAGGGTGCTCAGCACAAAACCGGTCAGACTCAGGGTCCGCGACGTCAGGCAAAGAGGACGCAGGGGGAGACGGAAGAGGAGTACGCTCCGGAGGGGAGGACCGACGCAGGGCTACAAGGGGTGTGCCGGGGACAGCCGGCTGACGCTGACGAGGAACACGACGAACGGTACGACAAGGACGAACAGGCGAGACAGGACGCGACGCAGGCTCACGACGCTCAACAAGACTACCTGCCTGCTCAGTGTAAGGAGAGGGAGCAGGCAGTGGGGAGCCAGGCTGTAACAGAAGACCAGTAGACGACGGGAGAGTAACAACCTGACGAAGAGCAGAGTCAGGCGGCGGCAGAGACGATGGAGACGGCGGAGCGAAGAACAGTCGTGTCGGCGCAGCTGCACCAGCACCAGCAGCTCCAGCACCTCCAGTAGCTCCAGCGTCTCCAGCCGCTCCAGCACCTCCAGCAGCTCCAGAAGCTCCAGCCGCAGAACCGGTACCTCCAGCGCCAGCACCTCCAGACTCAGCGTCACCAGTAGCAGCACCCCCAGAACCGGCACCCCCAGTCCCAGGGTCTCCAGCCGCAGTGTCCCCAGCAGCAGCACCCGCAGGCTCAGCACCTCCAGCCCCAGTAGCACCAGTACCCCCAGTACGAGTACCTCCGAGACCAGCACCACTCCCAGCTCCAGTGACGTCAGCAGAAGTACCTCCAGCAGCAGAGCCCCCAGCTCCAGAAGCGCGACGCAGACGGCGACCGTACCAGTCGTGCAACTGCTGTGAGGTGACAGGCACACGTGGACGAAGGCGGCCACTCCAAGGAGACCGCGCAACAGTAGACTCCGAACCCTCAGCGTCAGCACCGCGAACAGCTCCAGAACCCCCAGTGCCAGCACCCTCAGCGCCAGCACCTCCAGCAGCTCCAGAACCTCCAGCTCCAGCGCCACCAGCACCAGGACCTCCAGCAGCACCAGAACCTCCAGCGCCCGCACCCTCAGCAGCAGCAGAGCCTCCAGGAAAAACAGCTCCAGGAGCAGAGTCACCAGCTCCAGCAGCGCGGCCCTGACGGTCAAGGTACCACTCAACCCGCTGCAGGGAGGAGAGGGGGAGTCGACGACGAGAGGGCAGCGGCGAGGCACCAGCGGAGCGACTACGGAGACGGCCACTCCAGGGAGACTGCTCACCAGACGCCTCAGTACCCCCAGGCGCAGCACCCCCAGACTCAGTACTGCCAAGCTCAGCACCCCCAGACCCCTCACACTCAGGCTCAGCACCTCCAGGCTCCACACCCTCAAGCTCCGCACCCCCAGGCTCAGCACCCCTAGGCTCCGCACCCCCAGGCTCAGCACCCCCAGAAGTAGCACCCCGAGCAGGACCACCCTCAGCAGGACCTGAGTCACCAGTGACCTCAACCGGCGCAGACAAGGGAGGAGGGTCTACCTGAGACACACCTGAAGGAGCAGGACCTGGAGCGGGGAGGGGGTCTACCTGGGGAGCACCTGGAGCGAGGAAGAGCGGCGGGGGGGGGAGCGGGGCAGTGCGGTAGGGAAAGAGACGGTAAAAGGGAACTGACTCGTCGAACGTGACGTCCTGAGACGCAAAGACACGGCGTGAGGTGGGGTGGTAAAACTGCCAACCAGGCGCGTCAGGGACAAAGCCAAGGAAGACACAGGGAACAGCGCGGGCGGAGAGCTT